CCCCCCCCCCCCCCGCCCCAAGCTAAACTGATGGTCACTATTATAAGGATTCCCAATTAGCGGCTTGAGATCTACCAGTATGTCTTCGATACCTTTGGTTGAGTTCTAAGTCAGCTGTCATTGTCAGGTCCTCCTCTCTGCTATTCCCCAGTTCTTAGTTGGCTGGGACTGTACTGTCAAACCACACCATCACATTTTTACTAAGAGAATATAATTTAGTTTTAAGAGATGGAAAGTATGCTCTTTTATTAGATAAACTTCATTACTAAGATACTAAAATGACTTCATTATGAGGTAATCTCACCTGTAAAATTAAAAATATGTAAAACATATAGTATGTATATATTTTTGAAAAGAGAAAATAATTCTGCACCAAGGACAGAGTTATAGTAAGGTTCAGTGTACTTAATCTTAATTTCATTACTACAACAGTTTGAGGATACAAACATTTCACTAAAAATATACACCTTTATGCAAGAATGGAATTTTTACAATCCTTAAGAACACATGAAATTTTATATATTGTTTAAAAATATGTCTTGATGAGAAATCTTTGACATTTCTTAGGAGCATATTCCTAGTACTTTTGTTTAAGCATGCAGAAATGCATTTAAACATATAAATGCTTCTTACAAAGTAGTGCCTTAAGAGAAGCCATTGAATTTGAATTTCTCATACCTGTTGGATAGTAGGCTTGGGAGTACTGTGCTGAGGGTGTGTAGTTACTATATTTTTGGGAGGAGTTGACCATTGTTTGAGGGCCTTGCTGAACATGTACGGATGTGGCGCTGGGCTGCAGAGTATAGGTAACTTCAGTTGGAAACCTCTGCAGGACAGGAAATGGAACCCCTTTATCTGAAAAAGTGGGAGACGTTTCTACTTGTCCTGGGTGCATTCCAAGGGAGTTCTGCCATGTTCTAGGAGGAATCGGGGTCCGATCTAAACCTTTCAGAGGAAAGGTACTGTGGTTGTGGGATGAAGTTGATACGTAGGAGTAAGGAGACAGACTATCACGCCGGAATGACCGATGGAACTGTCCTACAGCCACTGGTCCTGCATAAAAGAGGAAAAGCACATTTACTAATTTTAAATTACACCCTGGACATAGTAAACCAAAAGTCAAAAAATACATACTACTCTTCACCTGTGAAATGTTGAGTTTTCAGTCATCTTTAACACAACAGAAATTAAGTATTGTAAAAACAAGCTCAGAATCCAGAATATGAGGTTACACATAAAATGCTGAAAAATAATCAAATAAACTTTTGTTTGGTTTTCAGTATGTCATAAGAGACAAAATGACCAAACTTTTAAAATTAAATCAAGTGTAAATCAATATTCAATGTTAAAAAGCCTTTTATAAATTATTCAGTCATCTTACCTTTGACCTCAATTGATTGACCCAGATTTTTCCAATCTGTAAGTTACTTCCTAGAAGTTTTAGAAATCCCATTCTGTCTTTAAAATCATTTAGGAACCTTAGGCACGAAAATAAGCGCTCAACCATATACATAAAAGAAGTAAGTGTGGAACAAAAAAGAAGTATAATACAAACCAAAATAAATTTAATCTTCTTTGCCTCCTTTCAATTTTTTTTTTAATTATAATCTTCACCCTGGCCGGTGTGGCTAAGTTGGTTGAGCATCACCCTGTGCACCGAAAGGTCACTGGTTCAATTCCTGGTCCCGGCACGTACCCAGGATTTGGGCTCAATCTCAGTCAGGTTGTGCGCAGGAGGCAGCCAATTGATGTTTCTCACATCGATGTTTCTCTCTCTCTCAAATCAATTTCAAAACACATACTTTAAAAATGATCATCTTTGCAGAAAAGTCAGGCTTGAAAACTTTCAGTTCTCTTTTTCATTCCTTAAATCAATCAATAATTTCCAGGTCTTTTTTTCTTCAAAGTATCTCTAGTAGTGTCCCTTCCTAGATATCAGTGGCTCTCAAAAACTGGTTTACATTTGAGTCACCTAGAGTTTGTTTGTTAAAAATCCACATATGCAGACCCAGAAATTCTGATTATTTGCTTTCTCTTATCTTGCAAGGTAGAAAGGAATTAAAAAGCGGATATGAGTTAGAAAAAGGGCAATACTATGTAATGAGAAAAAATATATATGTCACAAGCTGAACTTATTTTATAGACTGAGGTTCTTGAACATAAACAAAGCTAGCCTAATTTATTCCTATGGAGGGCTTTATGTATTAAGTGGTTCACAAATACCATTCAATTGATTTTATTTTTGAAAAATCCAGCCCTGGCCAGTATTTCTCAGTAGTTAGAGCATCCCTCCTTGCACCAAAAAGTCTCTGGCTCGATTCTCTGTCAAGGGCATGTACCTGGGTTTCAGGGTTGCTCCCCACCCCCGATTGGGGTGCATATGAGAGGCAACCAGTTGATGCATCGCTTTCACATAGATGTTTTTCTCTCTTTAAAAAAAAATCAATAATACAAGCAGCTAATTAAAGAATTCTCTATCTTGATTTCTCAATTTCTGGTTTAGGTATGAATTAAAATATAAATTCTACTCCTAGCAAGGTAAAGTCTGAGTGATGGCCAAATATCTACTTATTTTAGATGCTAACATAAGGACACTGTTAGGATTCAAAGGACATTCCTTCAAATTTGTTTTTTGAAATAAAAATCTAAAACATGTTGAGCTCTTATTTATTCTTCTGTTAAGGGATATCTCAGAGGGTTGTACTCCAACTTTACAGATCATACCTATATGTCTTCAGAATACCTTAATTTGATATATTTGGCAAAGTTGAAATCCAGAATTATAGAAATGTAAGGCAGGATGAATTTCTGTTCTTAGAAATTCTATTCCTTCCGTATAAATGAATCTAAACTAATAAATCCCCAGGAAAAATTTGTCTCTTGTCCAAAACCTGCCTCTTGAGAGCTTGGTAGCCCCAGGCAAAGACAGATTATCTACCACTCAACTTTATGTGACTTAGTTTAGAAAGTTTTAACAAATATTTTAAAAAGTGCCACTAAAAACAAAATAATAAAAGTGGACAAATGAAAAAAGGAAAAACATGTGATCCTCACATTTCTTATCAAGTACATTCTCAAAAAGTATAAAGGAAGCTGGCTCAAGGATCTAGATAAGAGAACTAGATCCTAAAACAGGGGATTGTACTGTGAAAGTAAAGCTTTCAAACCCTAAATTGCAGAACACAAAAAACAAAATGGAAACTAAGAAGTAACAGTGTAATCAGGCATTTAACCAAGACAATTCAGGCAGAATACAGGTTAGGCTAGGAAAAATAGAAGAGCCAAGGACTTATAACATGAAATTAAAGCAAAACAAAATTGGGCCAGTATTCTTGAAGTTAGAATTACATTCCACCCAAACTAGTAACACAATTCCCTAGTGAACCAAGCCTATGGTGTAGGCAATCCACATGTGATATACCACCTGCACATATGAACAGGTAAAATGGTAAAAAACAAAACAAAAAACAGGAAATTCATGAAAACTACAATAACCTAGGTATATATGGATTGATGTATTATCTATCCTGAAAAAGTATGAATTATAAGTCTTTCAACAAATAATCTTTAAAATGCTAGCCAACTGAAATAGAAGTGAAGAAAATCAGATCCTAGATAACCCCTGTGTTTCTTTAATTAAAATGGATTCTGTCCTTAGAATACAATTGGGTTTAGGATACGGGAGGGGAAAAGAAAATCAGAGAAGAGAAAAAAGTAAGCAAGAATTGGTTCTTAGGTTTATGTACATATGTATGTATGTATGCTTGTTTAAAGTGGTTATCCTGCCTAGCCAATTTGACTCAGTGGATAGAACGTTGGTCTGTGGACTGAAGGGTCCTTGGTTCGATTGAAGTCCAGGGCACATGCCCAGGTGGCGGGCATGCAGGAGGCAGCCAATCAATGATTCTCTCTCATCACTGATGTTTCTATCTCTCTCTCCCTCTCCCTTCCTCTCTGAAATCAATTAAAAAAATAAAGTGGTTATCCTATTGCTCTCAAGAACATATTTTTTTTCCTCTCTCTCTCACATACACAACCTGAAAAACAAGTATAGATGGCAGAGATTCTGCCAAATGTCTGCCATGGTACTGTCTCCACTGCCTTTCCCCATTGGATTCCCCATCAAAATCAAGGGCCATCATATGGAAGTAGCTTAATATTCCTTCAGAATTCCTTTGGAACATTCCTATTCCACTGCTATTTCTCCAACTTGTTGCTAGAACTCTAACCTAATTCCTTATCTTCTCAACTCCACAGACACAACCTAATCCCTTATCTTCTAAATTCCAAACGAACAAAGTGCCGCCTCATTCATAACTCCTGGCTTACATTAAGTTGAACACAGTGTTCTTTTATTTGTATATTTTTTAAGTTTTCCAAAACTGAAAAGTAACCCAGAAAAATGTTTATGTTAACATGCTGTGGTCAGCACACAATCATAGCGAGCAGTCAAAATCCCATCTTCCTGGAACAAGAGGAAGAGCATCAGAAATCAAGTTTATAAAATAATTTTGTATCAGAGAGGATTTCTGAACTTTTAGTAAATACAGATTTATAAACACAATTTTTTTTCAAATAATGAAAGATTATATCCAATCGTGAACAATTTAAAGGTCATAATGTGAGCTTTCTAACATCCTTTGTCATTAAAACTTGACAACCGTACAGAAAATCACTTTCGCCTTCTGTGTGTCCTACCATAGCCCCTTAAAATAAGCATCCGCTCTGGGCAGCTACAACCAAAGACTGTTCAGCCAACTCCTCCTACATAGGAATAATACCAGGTTGGATAAGGAAATATCTTTTTGCTCTTAAGATGTATAAACAATGCCTTATCGTTCTACACACTAGTTGGGGCCTAACATATGATTATTGTCGGAACATGTCTCCCAACATCTCTTAGCTGTGTCAGTGGCTGGAAGATGGCGTTGTCTCTTCAACGACAAACTTCCACTCTGGGGACCTTGTTCCCTTCCCCTTGGCTGGGACAAGTGGGCTAATCGGCTGTGACCCTGTTCCTCCCTACCTTCATCTTCGTCACACACGCTCACCCCGTCCAGTGTCCCCGTCCTGCTTCCCACTGGGGCAAAGGCGACCACGCGTTTCTCCCAGGCCCGGCGCTACCCATTCCCGCTGCTCACGGGCCGCACGGAGGTCAATGGCTCCGGAAGGACGGCGATCAGGGGCGCAGGGAGAGGAGCGCCTGAAGCGGAGGTGCCTGTGGCTGCCGGTGGACCCGGACGGGGCTAAATGCCTGTGGGCTCTTCCCAGAGGAGGTGCTGGTAGAAAGAGGGTGCTGTCGGGAGAACCATGGCGATGGGACCTATTTGTGGGGAAGCCCGCGGGATCCGTCCAAGATGAGGACGTGCCGCCAGGTCTCGGAGGGGCGGCTGCTCCCTGAGCCCAT